GGTTCGAATCCACCAGATGCTCTGCCGGGGAAGGAGGGGCAATCTCCTCCTGTACCAGTCAGATCTGATTTGACGGTACACGCACACAAAAATAATAAAATAAAATTAAAAAAAAAAACCAAACAAACCCAAAACAAAAAGAAACAATGGATTCAAGAGAAATACTCTGTTTAGAATAATGGGTATTTTGATTGTTGTTTATGTTTAATTTTTAGAATTTTAGGGAACTGAACAAATGGTGAGGTATCTCAACCATGCTGCTATAATGTGAAACCTATTCATTTCACTCTACAGGAACAACAATCCATTAGCACAAAATGAAGGATGTAGAACATTGCTGTAGACAAGAACAGCTGTAATTATTATTTGCTGCATAATATTAGGAAATATATTTCAAAGCTTTTAAAATATGTATCTTTGGTGGAAAACAAAACTATTTGTGCAAATTACACTCAATGTAATTCCAACATAATTATGAATAACAAATCTACTCTAGAATCACTACACACACACACACACACGGATATATATTTTCAAATAAAATAATCCTTAACTATGATCATATTAAAATTTTTGACAGATCAGACTTACTCTGCGTAGGACATTTTGGAAATCATTTCCCAGTTCTAAAGTAGTAATGATAAATACTCCAAGAATTAAAAGTCCCCCTGGAAGCATTCTGGATACCTAAGAAGAGAAATATTTTATTAGCTAACATGTATTTACAATTAATGCAGTCGTTTCTATCTAATACTCTAAATCAGCAAATACTGAATACTAACTATATGGATATAATTAAGATAGAAGATTGAAAGAAATGATGATATTAAAACAGATGGCAACAGGATGAACGAAGTCTTATATACACTATTTTTCTACAGTTTCCTAAATATTTTATAATATATGATGAGGTAAATGTATATGTTTTGTATGTGGCAAGGACATAAACTGTGGGACCCAAGAGTGGAATGTTATAGATGAGCTGTGTCTTTCTACAATAAGTATTATAAATCTTAATCTCTATGTTTATGGTAGGGAACCAATCCGAAGTGACAGGGTTCAAATCCATGGTCCTTCTGTGGTAGAAAGATGGACAATCATCTCTTGTGAGATTTATTGCCCCTGAAAACCCATTGAAAGTCAGCTATGAGTCCCTTCCTACTGGACAGCAAGCAACAACAGCATGTTTATGGTTACAACATCATTTGGGGTATTGTTATGCTAACAAGACAGGATTAGTACAGTGTTTATCTTGAGTCTATCCCTTTAGAGATCTTAGAAAGATTAAAGATGTGAACAGAAGCAGGAATGAGGGAGAAGAGATTCTAAGCCATGTGAAGATCCACCAAGGGCAACAGGTGAGAGACAAGGACCTTCTCCCAGAGTCAACAAAGAAAGAACTTCGCCGAAATCTCACAACCTGAATTCAAACATAGAGCCTTCTACATTGTGAGAAAATAAACTTCTGTTTATTAAAGCGGGATTTTACTATTTGTGGTATTTCTGGTATGTTGTTGTTGTTGATAGCTTTCAAGTCAAGCATGACTCATAAGGACCCTATGAACAAAAGGCCTGAAGCCTTTCTATAACTATAGACATTTATCAAAGTTCATAAAGTCTCCAGAAGCATGTTGTTTAGGCCATTCCTGCTTCCAAACTGGTCTTAAACTGGTCACTCCACCAAACACTGTCCACCATGGGTAACCATTTGATACCCCAATGGCACATGGTTCAGCATCACAGGAACCCCATGTTACCTAAGTACAGCATACTGACAGAAGAGCACTGTACCACTTAGAAATGTTCCTCCAAAATATAATAACAACCAACTCTAAATACAAAGGCCCTCACTGAGGTTTTGTTGACTCTAAACAAGAGGCTTAAATAAAAAAACCAAGCAACACAGTACGTGGTACTTGTTGTTATGTGCCATTGAGTCACCTACAATGTATAGCAACCCTATGTACAACAGCTCTGAACCCTTCCCTGTCCTGACCCAGTCTTATTAATTCCAACACACCAACCCCCATTGCCGCAAATACTGAATCAATCCATCTCATCTGGGGTGTCCCCCTCCTGTGCTGCCCCTCCACCATTTTGAGAATGATGTCCTTTTCCAAGGACCGATCTCTCCTGGCCATGTGCCCAAAGTATATGAGACAAAGCTTCAAAATCCCAGCCTCCAAGGAGAGACTTGGTTTCACCATCTCTAAGACAGACCAATTTGTTTTCTTGGCAGTCCATGGTATGTTCAAGACTCTTCTTCAGCACCACAACTTGAAGGTATCTATTTTTCTTCTGTTATCCTTACTCATAGTACCAGTAATAAATATGAGCTCTGGTGACTTAGTGGCAAGGAACTGGCTCTGCCAATGCAAAGATACATGGTTCAAATCCACAAACTACTCTGCAGGATAAATATGGGCTATCTCCTCCTGTGCAATTTATTGCCTCTGCAAACCTGCTGGAGGGACA